CCCTCCCAAGTAGGCACCTGCCACAACACCCAACTATTTTTTTTTTGTTGTTGTTGTTGCGGTTGCCATTGTTGTTTTTAGCAGGCCCAGGCAGGGTTTGAACCCACCAGCCTCAATGTATGTGGCCAGCGCCCCTACCTGCTGAGTTATGGGCACCACCCAAGGGGAGGAATTTTTGAAGTGAGTCAGCGGTTTTCATACCTGCCTAGGTGAGTCGGAAAGTACCTTGGGTTGAGATGCTTCCCATATTTCAGGGGCTTCTGTCCTTCTCCAGCTCTAACTGTTCTGCCTTAACTCCAATTGTGTTAGATTCAAGATTTACCAGTTACCACCACCATAAAACCTCGACCGACCTCCCCATACCCCCATGGAAATAACAGTTCCAGGGGCAGCTCTCTCTCTCTCCAAAAGCCAGTTACCCCTTTGCTCAGTCAGAGATGAGCAAGGATCAAGATGGGGTGCTGATCAGGCATGATGGGCCTCTCCCCACAGCTGGAAGTGCCTCGGAGAGAGCTTGCTTGCCACGTACAACCACCTCACCACCTGTGAGCCCCCAAGGCCCAGCCTTGGCAAGAGGATCGACCTGTCTGACTACCAGGACCCCAGTCAGCCTCTTGTGCCCTCCATGGTGGTGACGCCTGTCACTGTGATCCAGCCAAGCACTGTCAGCACCAACCCAGCTGTGGCCGTGACCGAGCCAGCGCTCTCCTATACCTCTGTGGCCACAGCCAGCTTTCCACTTCACAGCCCTGGGCTGTTGGAGACAGGTGCGCTTGTGGGTGAGCAGGCCCTGGGAGTGGGCTCTGGTTAGACGGTTTGCTGAGCCCATCAGGAATGAGCATGTTGGGACAGTTGGTCACTCCAAAGAGAAGGGTCATGTTGGTCTTCATGGCCCAAGTGAAAGTGGGAGCCCTGTCCCTTAGGGGAGCCTCTCAGCCTGCTCACAGGCCATGGTTTCAGGATTGATGCCCCTGCAGGGAGGGGAGGGGCTCTGGGATTCAACTCCCTGCTCTCTGAGAGTCCCCTGGGGTTCTTGCCTGCCTGGCTTCTAAGTCCTTATGTGAAGGTTGCTCTTACCACTTGTGATATGGAAGCTGGCAGGCTCTGTGCATTCTAAATTCTTTGACCTTAGAAAACAAGATCCATAAAGTTATTACTATATGTGCTAGTTTATTTTTATAATGTTTTATTGATTTTTCTTAACACTGGAGTCATAAAAATGTTTTGACAAAAACTCTCAAGTCCTTTCTTGATTTCTGTGTCACTAAAAAATAGAGTATCTAGTAGCTAAAGAAGTTTCTGAATGAACATGTACATTGTTGTTTATAACTTTTTAAATCGTTACAAAGTTTTCTTGCTCTTGTCAGACCATTGGGTGCTGAGACGGTCTGGAGTAGAGTTAGTGCCACTCACTCTGTCCCTCCTGGTTTCACCAGTGGCAGCCCAGAAGCTCAGCTGACAAGTGTGAGCTGGGAGGGTTGGAATGCTCTGAGACCCTGCATCTTTGTAGCCTTGGAAAGGAGTCTTAAACCTTAGTTTGTGGGTCCTGTGAATTCAAGAAAGATGTTACAGGATTTTAAAATTAATTTTATTCAGGACTTTTTGAAGAGTGTTGAAAGTTTTCTTGAATGTCAAAGAGTTTAATGCTGAGGGGCTGATGTGTCAGTGTGGTCAGTTTTTTCACCCTGTCACCATACAAGATTTTAATTTGCACTCTTTGTGAAGGTGATGTTTCTGGGGGAGATAAATCCAAGAAAGGGGTAAAGCGGAAGAAGATTTCAGAAGAGAGTGGAGAGACAGCAAAGCGACGGTCTGCCCGTGTCCGAAATACCAAGTGCAAAAAAGAAGAGAAAGTCGACTTCCAGGAGCTTCTGGTGAAGTTCCTGCCGTCCAGGTGCTGTGCATGCTCCTTCTGATTGGCAGAAACACACCCACAAACCACTACCTGCCCCATTCCATCACCTGCCCTCTCCTCTCCCCGGCAGTGGGTGGGGGCACCTCAGCGTGTTCATAATGTCTGTGCAAACATCTGAAGCACAGACCTCACTAGATTGGGATCTGGTGGCTGCTGTGTTCTGGCACCTAGCTAGCATAACCCCTGGCACGTGGCCAGGCTCACTGGTCGTCCCTTGATGGAAAGTATAAACAAATGAGGGGAAGGCTGGACGAAGCCCTGGAGAGAGGCAGAGCCTCTTGGAGGTCTGGGCTCTGGACCTTGCTGCCCACTTATTTTAGTCATCTTCTTCCTGCCTCAGATTTAGTTTCTATGAAGGACTCAGATGGTTGTGTCAGAATGTGTCATGTAGCTTTGTGATTTTGGCATGTTCCATGCAGGTTAAGAAAGCTCGACCCCGAGGAGGAAGATGATTCCTTCAATAACTATGAAGTCCAGTCAGAAGCCAAACTGGAAAGTTTCCCAAGCATCGGTCCTCATAGACTGTCATTTAACTCAGCCACATTCATGGAATCTGGTAGGAATTGAGCGGTGTAATCATTCTCTGTTGGGAGTTCTTACCACTATCCTGTAATCTTGGTGATATTTTGTTCTGAGAGAATGGTTCTGGCTTAAAGTGTGGTAGTGAGAATGGACTGCCTCCATGTGTCTTGGGCCTGACCCCTGTGGTCGACTGGGAGGCCTGCTGAAATGCCTGGGCTTAAACTGGCTGTACTCCCTGAAGTCTTTTGACCTTCAGGCCAAATTCAGAAGTGTGGCTTTGCAAAATGAACGAATGTGACCACAGCTGCTGAGTGTGTAGCAGGCGTCGCTGCTCGGTGAAATTGGTGCACACGGCAGCATGTGGAGCACCGAGGCACTTGCTCACAGATGGTGTGGGGTGGAGCCAGACGTGAACCCCAGCAGCTGATCTCTGTACCCCAGTGTTGTACCTTGTCTACCAGACTGGGTGATGGAGGAGGACGCAGTCTCTCTTTTGCCAGAGAGAACATCCCTTTTGCTGAGGGTAGATTGTTCCCTCTCTGGGCAGAGAAGCAGGATGTGCATGAGTTCCTGGTGGAGAACCTGACCAACGGAGGCATCCTGGAGCTGATGATGCGCTTCCTGAAGGCCATGGGCCACAAGTTTCTGTTGAGGTGGCCGCCAGGCCTGGCGGAGGTCGTGCTCAGCGTCTACCACAGCTGGAGGAGGCACAGCGGCAGCCTGCCCAACCCGCTGCTGAGAGACTGCAGCAACCGGCACATCAAGGTCAGGCCTGAGGGCTGGGGCCGGGCATCTTCTGCAGGGGGGCCTGCTGCTGGGATTAGCCTACTTGGCCACATCTGCTGGTGAGCCTGGAATCTGTGCTGTTGGGGCCTTGAAGCGGGAAGTATGGTCCTGGGGTATGCTTAGAAAGGTCCCTGGGGGCTGGGTGGGGGTGCACTCAGTGGTGAGATTAGGTGCATGGGCTGTCTGCAGGCTGCTGCAGGTGAGCTGTGGTAGTGGGGTAGGGGGAATCTGGAGGCAGAGCCATAGGATGACTGGATGTGGGCTGTGAGGCATGGGAAGGGCATATCTGGTTCTGTACTGATATAGAGGAGTGCTTACTGGGGGAGCTAGGAGAAAGGGAGGTACCCGGCTATGTTTCAGGTGCCAGGGACGGTGACTGTATTTTTTTTTTTTAAACAGATGAGAAAACAGAAATTCAGAGGCTAAGTAGGGGAATACTGGGGGCTTCCAGCATTTGGGGGCCCAGCTGTACTCTACACCCCAGGCTCCTCCACCCTGTACTTCCTGGAGCTTGGGGGGACACAGGGTGTTCTGGTTCCCTTCTCCTGGTGGAGGGGACACCGAATGCCAGGGCAAGAGAATGGGGAGCTTTCAGGGCCTGCCTGGTGGCCTTTCTGGCTGAGGACACAGAGAGTAGAGGAGCTCAGAGTTGACAGTTCCATAGGACCATGTGGGTCCACAGTCCCTTGCCAGGTACTGGAATACCTTGGGGACAATTTCCTGATAGCTTCTGCCCACTGGGCCTTGTTCCTCCTAGGAGCATTTCTCTGCTGTGCCCACTGGGCAGGTGCCTCCTAATTACCAAGCTTTAGTATTCTTGAGTGCCCTGGGAGTGATATGCACCAGTCCCTGGGCACTCTTAGCTGTAGAATGATGTCGTTGGGAGGCATCATCTGGGCTGGCACTTAACAGGTGACAGGGCTGCTTTTCCACAGGGCAGTCCCTTAGGGCACTGAAGATAGGTTCTCAGCCCCTCCCAAGTCTTGCCCCAATATAGATCCATGTGGGTCTTTTTGTGTCCTGTGAGTAGTCAGTGATTATCATTCATAAAGTGTAATGTAGATAGAGAATTGTGTTTTTATCAAAAAGTACATTTAGATTTGCTCCCATCCTCTGCATTCTGATGACCTTCCTGTGCCTGTCCTGTAGGACATGATGCTGATGTCTCTCTCCTGCATGGAGCTGCAGCTGGACCAGTGGCTGCTGACCAAAGGCAGAAGCTCTGCAGGTAGGAGGCGTTCTGTGCTCTGTGGCAGTGCTAATTTTCTGAACCCCCAGCAGCCGGGAGGAAGATGAAATGTGAAGGCTGAGAAATGGAATTCAGAATTAATACATCTGCAGTGGTACATTCTCTAGGTTGGTTTATCAGGATCCCAGAGAAATCTCATGGACTCTTTTTTTTTTTTTCTTTTTTTGGAGACAGAGTCTCAAGCTGTCACCCTGGGTAGAGGACCATGGCATCACAGCTCACAGCAACCTCAAACTCTTAGGCTTAAGCAATTCTCTTGTCTCAGCCTCCCATGTAGCTGGGACTACAGGTGCCCACCACAACGCCCAGCTATTTTTGTTGTTGTTGCAGTTGTCATTGTTTTAGCTGGCCCGGCCTGGTTCGAAGCTGCCAGCCTCAGTGTATGTGGCTGGCGCCCTAACCAATGAGCTACAGCAGGCGTCCTCAAACTACAGCCCATGGGCCACATGCAGCCTGCCTAGGACATTTATCCCGCCCACTGGGTGTTTTCGCCGCTGCCTGTCCTGCTTAACAGCCATCTCATCCCAGGGTCCACAGTCCGGCCCTTCCAACGATCTGAGGGACAGTGAACTGGCCCACTGTTTAAAAAGTTTGAGGACCCCTGAGCTACAGGTACTGCCATCTCCTGGACTCTTAAGATATTAACTGAGTTAGCTAATCTTGTTAGCTTGCGAAGTGCAGTGATTTATGCTGTAATCTTAGCACTTTGAGAAGCTAAAGTAGGAGGATTGTTTGAGGGCAAGAGTTCCAGACCAGTCTGGGCAATATGGTAAGACCCCATCTCTACAAAAAACAGCAAAATTAGCCAGGTGTGGTGGCATGTACTTTTAGTCCTAGCTACTTGGGAGGCCAAGGCAGGAGGATTGCTTAAGCCCAGGAGTTTTAGGTTGTAGTGACCTGTGATGGTACCACTGCATTCTAGCCTGAGCAACAGACTCTGTCTCAAAGAAAAGAAAAAAAAGTGGACAAAATGGTTAGCGGCTAAGCTCCCAGAGGAAGCCACCTGCCTACCTTTGCTCTTCCTTGGGATTGAAGGAAGTGGGGATCTCAATTTTGGTGTGAACTATTTAATGCTTTGTGTCTGCAGTGATTTCCCCAGGTAATATGATTCATTCTGACTTTTAAACTACTGCTGATGTAGGACAGATACAGTCAAAATTCATCCATCAGATTACATCCCAGCCACCCCACTCTCAGGGTCTCTGTATTGCTAACTGAACCAACCTCTCAGGTGCCTGCTGGTCAGTGAGCTGGAAGGCTCCAAGGGGTCCAAGGTACCTCTAGAGCAGTGATTCTCAACCTTCCTAATGCCACAGTGTATTTTCATTGTTACAAAGGGGTTGCGACCCGCAGGTTGAGAACCCCTGCTCTAGAAACTGAGGGTCCCCTGTGGCGAGGGCTGAGGGGACCTGTGGGGAGGAGGAGGGCAATTAGACACCACATATGAATTGATGCAACCACTGGTTTTCAGTGTCTCCTCGGAATTGCCCTGCTGGTGTGGTGAATGGCAGGTTTGGTCCAGACTTCCCAGGGACCCACTGCCTGGGTGACCTCCTACAGCTGTCATTGGCCTCGTCCCAGCGTGACCTATTTGAGGATGGCTGGCTGGAGTTTGTGGTCCGTGTTTATTGGCTCAAGGCTCGCTTCCTGGCACTGCAGGTTGGTTTCATAGTCAGGTCCGCGCCCTGACACCCAGCAGCGAGGGCATAAAAATGACCATGTAGAGGATACACGTGTGTGAGAGCACATGGGCGTGTGCAGCCCTGCCTAGGCGCTGAACCTGGCATGAAGCAGCGGGAAGTTGGGGAGTTATCAGAATGCCAGGTGACCCCTGATCTATAGAGCTCAGCAGAGCCACAGAGTTCTGGAAGGGATCTCCCCTATAGACCCCCACTCAAAATCGCCTTAGGATCCTGACTCTTTGCTAAGTCTTCTGGAGAGAATCTGACTGAGTACATGAATGGATGCAGAGCTTTCTAGAAGGGAATTATCCTCCTATTTTGTGGGAGTTCTGGGAAAACTTCTCAGAGGCTGGTCTGAAAAGCTAGCATGGATTGGCTTGCACATGGAGGTACCTGGTGCACTCTGGTAGAGTGAGTCAGAGACTGCCAGTCAACCTGAGGGAGGCAACATCGTTCACTGTGGAGAGCATCAATTCTGGAATTAGGACAGCCTCTGTCCTCACTTCTGTCAGATACCTGGCTTTGCTCAAGAGTCCTCTGTGTCTTCATTTGTGTCATGGGGTAAATGAAACCTTCCTTTATAGAGTTGTAGTGTGGACTCATTCATTCAGCAAATATTTATGGAGCCCTGCAATATGCTAGTCCACTTTTAGGGGCTAGAGCAATAATTGAATGAAAACCTCACCCTCATGGCATGAGGTCAGGGAAGTAAGGCGCCTGGCACAGCATGGTTAGCCTCCTTCACTTGAACTGGTTTTCCTCTGACCAGGGAGACATGGAGCAGGCACTGGAGAACTATGACATCTGCACAGAAGTGCTCCAGAGCTCTGCAGCCATCCAGACAGAGGCTGGCGCCGAGCCAAGAGACACTGTCATCCGACTGCCCAACCTCCAGAATGATTCCATTGTTTCCTTGGAGGAGGTGAGTTGTTTCCTTGGTCAAAGGTTCATTCTGAGTTGGCCCAGTTAGCCCAGGCCTGACCTGTTCCTGATAAATGAGAGCCGCCACATGCTGAGCAGGCCCCTGAGAGGAGGGCAGGAGAGGCCACTGGAGTACCACAGACCCATGATGGCTTGTCCAAACAGCAGGCTTGGAAGCTTCACCAGCATAATTTAGAAGTGGCTGTTGCTCATCTCTCCAGCAGAGCTGGAGGAAAATGTCAGCAGAGCAGACCATTGCTGGGCTGGTCATACAGTGTGTGACCACATGTCAGGTTCTGCTTAGATGGCCCTTTTCTCCTTCCGTGTCTATGACATGTCCACTTTGGCTGAGAGTGGCTTCCAGACTCTTTCAGAGTTGTTTCAGGGCAAGTCCAGGTGCAGTACACTGCTGCCTGCGTGCTGGGGCTCTGCCAGGCTCTGTAGTGGTCAGTAGAGTGTGCAGGCTCGGGCTCACACTCACTCATCTCTGACCTCCTGGTGCTCCATGGTTCCGCGAGTCTGGCTCACTGAACTGTGACTGAGGTTGTTCAACTGCTTTGATGGATGCTTTTCTGGACCCCTTCTGCTTCTAGGGTAATTTTTGGTGTATTCATTTTTTTTTTTTTTTT